CAGGGGAGGTGCCTTATAAGTGGTTGATGAAAGAGGAGACAGAAAGTCTGACTAGAGGCCTCCTAAAGAGGCTGCTTAGGACACTGTTGTTTGTTCAGACCCCCAGACCCCCCTCTCTCTCCACCGCTCCCTTGTCAACTTTCTCAACCCAAAGGTTACATTTCTTTCTGAAGAAGCAACTGAGACCACTTCAGGGAAGGAAGGAGGGATGCGAGCTGTGACTCTGGCTCCAGGGAAAAGCACTTAAGCTCTTAGGGCCTCAGTTTTCTCACCTGCAAAATGGGGATGCTGGCAGTACCTTTCTTCTAGGGCTGTTATAAGGACTCCAACTATAGAGCTCCAAGAACAGTGAGAGGGCTTGGAAAGCCCCGTGGAAGTGTTTGCTAAACACATTTTGGAGCCTAGAGTGAGGATGCCAAGGCCTCACTCCAACCCACACTGAGGAGGGACTGTTCACCTCCCCATTTTTTCATGTCCACTGTCCCATCTCACCCTGTTATAACCATGCCCAGAATATAGTAGCCAAAAATCTACTGACAAGGAGTACATGACCAAATGAATGAGGGAATAAATGAAATGTGCCAGATAAGCAATAATACACAGAAACAAAATTTAATTGGTGCATGGTTAAGAAAGCCAGATGGAGAGTCATGCAGACTCCAACCCTGTTTTTCTCTGTTAAAAAGCAGCAAATGAGGGTTGGGATTGTGGCTTAGCGATACAGTGCTCGCCTAGCACGTGTGAGGCACTGGGTTTGATCCTCAGCACCACATAAAAAATAAATAAATAAAATAAAGGTATTGTGTCCAAGTACAACTAAAAAAAAAATTAAATTAAAAAAAAATTGGGCAAGGGAGCCCATCACCTTAGCTACATAATGGGCCAAACAGCAGTACCTGGTGTAGACCTGGGAATTAGAGGAGAAATGTATAAGACGTTAAGTCAACCGGAGCAGAATTCTCTCCCTGGATTCAGAGAGAGCTGAGGTGCAGAGAGGGTCCCAGCTCACACCTGGCCTTGCCTAGCAGGCTGAGCCTGATGTCCTCCTGGGTCATCTCAGTGCAATGCAGAGAGTAGGCTTGGGCTCTCTGAATTCCAGCTTAGCTACACCCCACTGAGTCACCTCCTTAGGCCTCAGTCTTCTTTACCAGGAGCACTAGAATCTCCACATCACTAGGGGTTTGTGGGGATGAATGAAATCACACATTTAAGCCACTAAGCTCAGTAGGTGCTCTTCAGCAAATGGCCAAATTGTTACTATTTGTACCTTAGTGCTCTAACTCTAGGAATTTTTTGAGTGGAGGCCTGTTCTGTCCTTCCCTGAATCTATTCCAAGCCTTGTGGAGGAGGAGGTAGGTGACCCAGAGGGGCAAGCAGGCCCAAGTGAGCTAGGGGGTCCAGCAGTGGGAGTAGGGGTAGAGATTCAGGGCTGCTCTCAGGGACAGAGGGTCCCAGTTTGGCCTCTTGGGCACAGAACACTGGACAGAGAAAGGGGGTTATCTAGAAGCACCCCCAGGTATGGATAGGGAAATGTGGCATGTGAGCCCAGGAGCAGTACATGTGTGTTTCAGAGACCTCTGAGAGGAAGGAGAAGCAAAGGAAAGGAAGGAGATGCCTACACTGAGGTACTGAGATCTTGTCCTCAGGGTCCTAGGGAGCCACAGAATCTTCTTGAGCAGGGGAGTAAACTGGTCAGCACTACAAGGGTTTATGTGCCCTACATATAGGGTGGTCTGAAGAGAGAGAGGTTGAGACCAGGGGAGCAGGAAGGAGGCAGCTATGATTCCCTCCTGGCCTCTGACTGGCCAGGTGAGGACAGGGTGGAGGCAAGGCCAGCACAGCCATCACAGATGGCCTGGGAGGTCACCTGGAGCAGCCTGCTCTCTGCTCTTTTCACAGGATTGCTAGAGCTGGTAGGTAGAAAGGGGAGGCTCTTGAGGAGAGCTGTAGTCTTATGGGGCTCATCTCAGCACCAAGACCCCCAGCTCAGAGAAACTGAGGTGGGGGGAGGCAGGAGCTGGGAGAGGATGTTGGGAAAGGAGGGCCTGACAGCAGCAGAGTGCGAGGCCACGTGTGAGCCAGCTCCGTGCACGTTACACAGTGGACCTGGGAAGCAGTCGGCCACCCTCCAGTCCTCTCTGTGAGAATGTGCTCTGAGAGCTGGCTCCGGATGTGACCCTCTCAGAGCCTCTGTTTTCTCCTTTCATTCTTTCCAGCTACAAGTTTCAGAGTTGGAGACGATGGTACTGTAGGAAGCCCTGGGTAGCCCTAGCACCAAGTGGGAAGGAAGAGGGTACAGGCGCCCAAGGCAGAAACAGGCGCAGGACAGCCACTTGGAAACCCACCCGCCCATGGAGGGACGTGGGCGATGCTCACATGTGTTTGGTGTTGTGAGGACACATCCACGCCCACACACACACACAGTCTGCCAGCGCCGGGCCTCAGACCCCTGGGTGTGTGGCCAGGAGGAATGAAGTCAGTCTCAGAGAATCCGCCCTGGGCTCCCACACCAGGCCTGGGGGTCTGATCTCAAGTAAAAGGCTTGGACTTCTTTGGGTTGGGATTTTCCACAGTCTCAGCCTAGTAGGGTGGGGAGGGAAGAACCAATGATGGGGAGACTAATGTTCCTACACTGGCTTCTTTGCGGGCCCCAGACTAGCTTGTATCCCCCCATCTCATTTTCTCCATGATTAGGGGAGGGATCATTCTCTGAGAAGTCCTCCCTGAGCCCCAGCCTCTGACTGGGGAGGCCCCTCCTCCACCCCATAGTCCCTTGCTCCTGGTGCTCACCAAATCACAGCAAGGAGCCACTTCTCTGCTATGCTTCCCCCAGGACAGGGCCTGGATTTGATGCATCTTGGCCTGCTCAGCTTGACACCTAGGACACTGCCTTCAGGGGAGAAATGTCTTTGACCCAAAATAAACTGTGGGGCTCGGGAGTAGTGTCCAGAGGCCCTGCTCAGTACCCATCCCACCACTCCAGACATGGCCTTGTCCTGCCCAATCCTCCTTTGAACAAACTGACTTCCTTAAGAACCCATAGGCCAAGGAGGGGCCCTAGAAAACATATTGGCTTGAAGCCCAGATGCCTAGTCCCAGGCCTGGCTCTGCCTGTGTTGTGGCATTTGAGGCCTCAATTATCCCCTCTATCCAGAGGTGGGACCATTCTGGCTGAGCCTCACACTGAAGTCTTGAATTCTAAGAAAAGTTGTCACAAAGATTGAGCACCTGATAGGTCAACATCTCCTCTAAGGTGCTCTTGGAGCAGTTGGTGCATAACTGTAATATAGCCTGCTGCAGGATGCTTTGAATTTCTGGTAACACTCAGGAGGGGTGGATATACCCTTCAACACATTACATAAGGGGCCCTCATCTTATTCTGAGCTTCCGCAGTTCTCAAAGTGGGATTCAGCAACCAACTCATGTGCTGCACCTTGGATGTTTGAGAAAGGGCACAACCTGGGAGATACTTCTCTCCCCCAGCTTTGGGCTCCACCAGCGCCCTTGGCAGCAGCCCTTCACTGAGGCCATCTTGACTGGAGACTGGGCATCACTCCCATGCTGATAGGGCTGAGGAGTGGAGACTGAGGCCAGCACTAGCACCAGCACCTTGGGTCATATATGGTTCAGCAACTGTGATGGGGAGCAAAGAATCATAGGCAGAGGGCACTGACAGCAGCCTGAAAGAGGCAGGGCAGAGTGGACTGAATATGCATCAAGGACTGAGCAGAAAACTTGGACCAAAGAGCTGAAACCTGGGGAGAGAAGTAGCAAGGAGATACCAGGACAGTGAGGATGGGCTCATGGCCATCCAGCCCTATCCAGACCCACCAGTCGGCCCTAGTCCAGCCTGCTAAGAGAACTGTGGAGTCTGTCCATCTGACACAGGAAGACTGGTTCCACCCCTGTGACCTTGTGTACAGCAAAATGGCTTGGCCTTTCCAAGAATAGGCCACATCTTCACTCCCTCTCCCCCCAAAGCCTCAGGGTGGCCTCTATACAGTTGCCTCCTGGGTCCTTTCCCTAGGGCTGGGACTAGGGTAAGGCTAGTGTGGCCCTGACCTAGGCTACAAAATTTAAGTGGGCACCAAAACAAAAACCCAAACAAAAAACCTCAGTAATAAAGATAAGTGATATTTAATACAATTTTTTTTCCAAAAAATCAAAATCAGTGCACAAAATCTGTGAACAAATATCCAAATAAAGACAGGACCCAAGTTGATTTTTGAATTTGTCTCAGGCACCCTAGGGCACCATTATTGATTCTATTTAAAATTTGGATATACTTGTTCATGGTGTATTTGGGAGCATTGTTTTTTTCTTTAAAAAACAAAAATAAAAAATCCCTCAAATTATTACTTATCTCAATTTCCAAGTTTTTTGGTGTCTCCTTAAATTTCGTGCCCAGGTCCGTGCCTCGGTGGCCTCTCCAGCATAAATCTCACACACTCCCCACCAGGGGTCTCTCAGTCATCTAGTCTGAATTCCTGCCTGGGGCAAAAACTTTCTCAGATCAGCTTAGCTGGGGCAAGCTCGTGCATGCCCAGTGATAGGGAAACCGCACAACTAACGTCTTTCTGACCCTGAAGAGATGGCACAGGGGCATCTCCAGGAATGGAAGGAGGTACCCTGATTGGAATGAGAAAGAGTCAGGAAAAAAGGCTTCTTCCCTTTGTCCTCAGATGATCCAAGCCAGGTCTGAAAGGGGCCTCCTCCCAAAGCCTGGCTAGTGCTTCCACCCTTATCTCCAAAGCCTCGGTTGGAGCCCAGGCCTGCCTGGCTAAGTCCTGACACTGATTGATGATGCCTGGCTGTTAGGCAGGCCGGAGGTGGGAGGTGAAGCACCACGGGGTTGCGGACTGGGGCTAGGTGTGGTGCGGGGTTCATACTTAGCAGCGCAGGGGAGGCCTCTGGAGAGGGATGGGGAAGGGGTCTGGGCGCCTGGAGTCATGAGGTCGGGCAGCCGAGCCTTAGGCCGCGGCTGCGGCTACTGTACTCACCACGACCGTTCTGGTTAGGTCTGTACACGCTGCCCACGCTGAGGCGGCCCTGCTGTGCGCCGTTCCGCTCCCCACCCGGCGGGGGCGCGTCGGAGCTGCGCACTGGCAGGTAGGGCGGCTCCAGTACGCGGAAGGGTGGCTGCGGCTCCACGGCACGCGGCGGCGGGACATAGGCCTCGGGTGGCACATTGGAGTAGGGTGGATACCAGCCGAGGCGGGGGTCGCCGCCGTAGGCCCCACCGCCGGCCGGGCTCTGCGCCGCATCGGGGCTGGGGTCGGGGTAGGCCTGCTCGAAGCCCGCAGTGCCCTCGTTGTTGTACAGGCTGTGCGAGTAGCGGCGGTCGGGGCCGTCGGGGGGCTGGGGCTGTGGTTGCGGCTGCGGTGCGTAGGGCCTCTCCAGAGCCGGGTAGAAGCCCTGGGCCGGATACTCCGGCTGCTCCTCGCCGCCGCCTCCGTACTCCTCGTAGCGCGCTCGGGGCTGGAAGGGGTAAATGACCCCCGCTGAGGCCACAGCTGCTGCCCCTGCACCCATGCCACCGCCCGCACTGCGGTAGTACACGTAGCCCTGGTCGTAGGTCCGCGACGCTGGGTCGTAGTTCTCGTACTGGCTGACGAAGGGCGCTTGCGGGTAGGGGAACTGCTGCGGATAAGAGGACGGCTGGCGGTAGGTGGTGGCGAAGGCCGAGGCCGAGACCGAGGAGGCGGAGCCCCCGTGCCGTTGCTGGGAGACGGAGGTGCGGGCCCGGGCCATGCCGGTGCTGTCCCCGACGGCCACTTCGCGCCAGTTGTCGGGCACCTGTCCGAAACCGAATGGGTGCCGAGCTTGGCCGCGCACAGTGTCTGAGCCCACGCGCCCAGGCAGGGGCAGAGAGGGCGCCTGCCGACGCCGGAGGCCCCCCTGGCTGCGCCGCTGCGGGGCCTGGGGTGCGCCAGCCAGCAGCACCCGGGAGCTACTCTCCGCGCGCTGAGGCCCGGCAGGCACGTACTCTGAACCCGAGTTAAGCAGGCTGTACACCTGCCCGTTGTTCTCCCACTGAATCAGCTGCCGCCAGCGCCCAGGGTCCGAACCCTGCCTGGGCTGTGCCTGCTGCCCATGCACCAAGACGCACAGGCAGGCGCCCCACACTACGGCCCCCAGCTGCCAGCCGGCTCGGACCAGAGCCATGGTGGCCCCTCAGCAGAGGCCGGGTAGACAGAGAGGCTCTCAGGAGTGGCCCCTTGTGCGTAGTTCTCTTCCCACGGCCTCGAGGATAGGACGGTTCCTTGCCTGCCCCAGCTCTAGCTTTGTCCATCCTGGCCTTGTCCCGAGCGGGACGACTCCTCCGATGACACCATTTCGAGGCCAAGAGGTCAGGGCAGGGCAGGGGCGGTGCCCAGGGCTGCACGAGGCTCTCCGCAGGGCACGGGCGAGCAGGACCGCCTGGGGGCCTTACATGGCCAACCCCACACTGGCTGGCCGCTGGGCTGGCGCTTTCCCACTCTGAATGAATAAGCAACAGGCTGGGAGCGACGGGAGGTTTCGGGAGCCTGGTCCGCCTGCTGGGGCCTCCTCCGCGGGGCCCTATGGCCCGCCGGGTTTTAGCTATGTGGCCTGTCCCACAGCTGCAGTACTCCCCCGTCCACTGAGCCAAGCCGCAGACCTGCCTCTGAGGAAGGGAGTGAGGCAGAGAGTGGGATTGGGGGCAGGCGCCCTCTGGGGACTCAGGCCTGGTAAGTGGGTCTCTGAGAGGCAGGAAGGGACTGGGTGTCAGCCCTGCCCTGCCTGTTCCTCTCTGCTTTGGACATGGCATCCATGTTCTCAACCTTACCTACTGGTTTTGCCTTTCTCCAGGATTCTTGGGTTCCCTTTTCCCTTGTTCTCCAGAACCACTGCCAGGAGACACCCTTCTTGTTGATGGATCTCCTTGGGGAGATGCTGAACAGGATCTACCCTCTAATTCTGGACCCCTGGTGCACCTTTTTCCTTGGGCTTGGGTATAAAGGTGATGGAGCTTCAACTTTTCCTTCTTGGCACACCTTCCAGCCTTATTCTTTCACTCTGTAGGATGGGGTGTGTCCCTGTGCTCAATAGGGCTTGTGAACTCATGGAAGAGACCAACTCTTACACACTCTGAGTGGTTTCTGTCTTGCTTCTCTTGATTCTGTATGGCCTGAGAATAATCTGAGTGTACACATGAGTAAAATGAAACCCGGCGGCTGTCTCTGCTATGGGATGGGGTCTTGATGAGGCAGAGAAGCCTATAAGCATTGAACAGCAGGAAGGAGGATTCAGGAGAATTGTGGCTGCGAGATCTTGGGTAAGTCCATTTCCCTGATCTAGTTGCTGCTTCTGACCAATGGAGGATTAGCCCACATGGTCTCTAAAAGTACTTTGGGAGGGCAGCACCTATGGGGTGCCATTACAAGAATTCTGTTTCTATTTTTCATACTTGAATAAATCCTACTCCTTACACACACACCACATACACACACACACACACACACACACACACACACACACACACACACGTGTGCTTTGGGAGAGTCTCTGTTTCCACTGGGGGATTGCAATGATAGGAGGAGTCCCAGAAGTTTGAACTTCTTGCTTTGGTGTCCAAGAAATCACACTCTGAATACTGCTCTCAGGGCCCCACCCACTGGGCTCCTCTCTCTTGCCTTGCTCCTTGGAACTGGAGAGAAGAAATTGCCCCTTTGTGTTTATATACAATATAGGGAAGACCCTATTTTGGAAACTCTGAACCCACCTTGGGAGGAGACAGAGTGGACACTCCTCAGGGACACTCCATCCTTGCCAGGCAGTATTTTGTTGTTCTTGTTTATTTTATTGTATTTATTTATTTTTATCCATTGCTCTATTCTTCAGAACCGAGGCTTGATTCAGATGACTTGGGACATTAAATGCCCATAATCTAGCCAGGATGGTGGAGAGCTTCTAACACCATTCCTGGCCAGAGATCACTCAACACTTAGCTCCCCAGCATGTGGTTTGGTCTCAGACTCCAGATGGGATTCCTGAAAGGAGCCAGGACACCAAACAAGATCCTGAGGCCTGGGCTCACTTAGGGCCGGGACCTGGAGGGTTAAGCCTTCCCTCCCTCCTGCCTGCCCCCTGCAGTGTTGGCCTCAGCTGCTTGGAATCCCTGGGGTCCTGTAGGGCCCTCCCGCCAGCCAGATGGGCAGCAGAGAGGAGGAGGAGGAATGGAAACAGGCCTCAGGGTACCCCTAGGCATGGAGGGGAAGGGAGGGGGAATTGAGGGAGGACAGAAAATGGTTGCCAGGTAAGGGAGCCTGTTGGCAGAAAGTGGAGAAGGCAGGTCCCCTCTCCATAAGCTAGATGGGGGCAGAGGCTTCCTCAGGGCTTTGGTGTGGGGAGATCAGGGCACAGGCCATCCCACTCAGCCGGCTCTGCTCTCGGAGCCAACTCTTGGCGTGAAACCCTACCCGGAGCTGGCTCCAGCTCCTCTTTCTTTTTTCTTAATAAGGTCGAATCAGAGTGAGTCAGAAGAGCCAAGTTTCCTGTTAGGCTCTGTTTGAATAAACTCTGCTCTGAACAGAGCTTGGGCCAGTACTGTGGCCCTGCCAGCCGTCCCTGCTGAGGCAGGAGAACTTGGGTCCACAGGATGACTTGAGCAATGGGCCTGGCCTGGCCAGACCACTCCCCAGAGAAGCTGTTAAGCTCTCAGAGCTTCAGTCTTGCCTCTGAGCCTGGGGGACATAATACCTTTCTTGGGGCAGATATGGGAGGTTGGAATGAGAGGATTATGAGAAGTACCCAGCACATTGCCAGATCATGTGGCCACTATTTTCTTCTTTTCCCCTTGACTTGTGAGAGAAGGGAGGGGTTATATCTGGAGCCGGGGGTCCCTCATGCCATTTCCTCTGTCCCTTTCTTGTTTTTATGTGTCTTTATTTTTCCTTACCCAGGATGAAGCTTGTGCAGGGCAGGATCAATCCTCTTCCCTCCTCCCTTCTCTCAGAGTCCAACCTCCTTCTGTTTCCAGTCTAGGCCTCCTGCAGTATCTGACTGGGACCAGCTGGGCCATGGCCAGCAACTCTGGGAGCCCAGGAGTCTGCCTGCCTCTGCCTCTCCACACGCAGGACAGAGCTTGCATCTGTAGCTTAGGTATCCTGGCATCCTTAGGTTGAAACCTGCAGAGTGGGGGTTCTAACAGAAACCATGGCAGAATATGGAGGGTATAGAGCATGGGTCAAATGAGGGCTTAGATTCACTGGGCTGGGCTGGGACAGCTGTCTTTGGGAGGATAGCTTCTCTTTCAGCCCTGTCCCTATAGACTGGGATTCACACCCACATTTTTAACACCTAGATATGTGGTTGAGGCCAGATCCTAGCACTAGAAACCAGTCTCAAGGGATCTTGGAGGGCTGGTGATGTAAAGTTGAGTTTGTTGGTAGTACACATCTTTTTATAGCACCTACTTTGTGCTTAACTGTGTTGCTGGGGCTCCCATGGAGCAGCCAATGTCCTGTGACCCTGAGATGGTCCTGAAAAATCCATGGGGAAGCAAGGAAGTACGGACGGACCTCATCAGCAGAGGGGTGTGGGAACAGAGAGGGACAGGAACTGTGGATGCCCCTTTGCTTGGTAGACAAGGGCCATGAGGCCGACTGTGTGGGTCAGAATTTTCTGTGGTTGAAGGGAAGGGATGAGGGTAGGCACTGGGTTGCCTCTGCCCTCTGGCTCCCAGACTGGGCCTGACTGGGTTCCCCCTCTTCCCCATGGTCACTAACTTCTGAGGACAGGTCTGGGCACCTGCACCACCAACTCAGGGAGGCCACTGATGGGATTCATGCTGAATTGGGAATGAAGCCCCAGTCCCAGCAGTGGACTGTGTGGTCCCAGCTGCTGCCTCTGGAAAGTGGGCTGGAGGAAGTGCTGAGCGAGGAGGCTGGGCGAGCTGGCACAGAAAGCGCTGACTCCACAGGGAGAGGACCACCGAGTGACCACTGCCAGCTGGGCCCTGGGCCCACCCCTCCCCCGCAGCCACATCTGGTGGAATGGTGGGGGAGGCAGGGGGGACTTTGGTCCCCAGAGCCAAGGCAGTGGTGGAGGGGGCCCGAGGAAGGGGCTAGGGCATTTTGGTTTGGAGGTGTCTCTCTTAGGGGCTGGAGCTCCTAGAGAAGTCAGGAAGTGGGGGAGGGGAGGTCAGAGCATTTTTCAAGGGGCAGATGATAGGGGTGGAGGAACCTACCTTCTCCAAGACCCAGAGGAATTTGGGGCTCTGGCCACTTCCCCCTCCCTGGCTCTCCTGAACCCCTCCCGTAGGGTTCTGGGGAAATTGGAAAAATCAGAGTTGAGAAAACAGACTGGGCATGGAGGACAGACCCCAGGAGGGCAGGAGGCTCCCTCAGCCCCTTCAGAGCTTCTCCCCTCTGACCTCCCTGGACTCTGAGGTTTGCTGAATGGTAACATTCCCTGTCTCCACTCCCCACTTAGGGCCCTGGGTGATTGGAGGCAGAAGTGGGTCATTATTGCAGGAAGAGGGGCAAGTGAGGAGGATCTGTCTTGGGTGGTGGAGGGATTTTGCATGGTTGTTGGCTAGGGCCTGCTGGGTGGGAAGGCTCCCTATGACAAAGTTCTGGGAATGAACTTCAGCCAACAAGCAATTAGGGGAAGGAGGTACTAGCATCCACAGCCCCAGGGAGAGAACTAATAGAATCAAGCAGGGTGCCAGCCCTTTAGGCTACAGTCCCACAGAGGCCTGCAGAACTAACAGGAAAACTAAGGCAGGAGCCCACTGTTTCTGATGGATAAAACTGTGGCAGGGCTAAGGGAAGCCCTTTCTGCCCAGCTCCACTTTAGTTTTTGCTTCTCTAACTTTCATTTGGATCTCACTGGGTTTTGAAAAAATTGTTCAACACCCTCCCTGTCTTCTCATTCATTCATTTGTTGTCTCGGTCTCCCTTTCCATGTCTTGCAGTCTTCATCTGTCTCCATCTGTTTCTGTTCTTTCCTGTCCCTCACTCGCTTTCTCTAGGTGCTGATATTTCCCCCTCTTACTGGAGTCCATTAGTTCATTCATGCCCTCAGACAGCATGTTCCCTGGCTGCCTGCTGAGGGCCAGGCCTTGTACTGGCCAATGGAGTTACAGAGAGTCACCAGACCTGCCAGGTTCCCAATAGCTCCCAGGGTGACACAAGTGACCTCCCATGTGGAGGAGAAGCCAAACATTGTATTGACTCTCTGACTGATCTTTGAGAGGCATTGCTATTCTCCATCTCAATGTCTGTCTGTCCGTTCATCCATCCATCCATCTCTGTCCACTGGTGACTCTACCATTGTTCCATCTTTGTGAGTTGACTTTTTCTGCTTGCTGTAGGACATCTGGAGTTTACTTGCTTCCCCCTCGTGGAGGGAAGCAGTGGAGCCCGAAGAAGGGCAGGTGGTCTAGGCTGAGGGTGGGGTGGGTATTGGGAGAAGTGAGGACATGGGCCTGCCCATGTGAGGGACTGTACCCCCAGGACATAAGTTGGCTTGGGAGTCT